ATTTCCCCGGAGGAGCTGGAGGAAGTGTCTGGAGAGAGGGAAGTCTGGGCATCTTTGCTTAGACTGCTGCCCCCGCGACCCGGTCCCGGATAAGCGGAAGAAAATGGATGGATGGATGGATGGATGGGGTGTATTCAGGTTTTTCAGAAGAGGCTGGACATCGCAAGTGTCCTGACAGTCCTGTAAACCGTGGTCAGTCCTTGTAGACTGTAACTAGTTACATTAGTTTATTGAACTGCATTGACCATGGGCTGTATGTAAAAGTGGACACTGTGTCACCACTTTTTGCCACAGTGCAAAAGTGCGCCGATACGGCGGTGGCTATTTTTCTTTTGTGATGCATTTTGAAACCAGATCCTGCACAGTAGTGACCAGAGGTGGAGCCATGGTATGGGGCCACCAATCAAAGCTGTCAAGTCATCTGAAATACACCCCTTTTTATATCAAATAACTTATTAGAAAAATGACCACATGTACACAAATCAGTGTGATAATATCTATATCAGAAATCACCACTGGGAAACACTTGATTTGTACTTTGAATTTTTAGTTTGGCTCATGTCCTGTCCTGGTCATGACCCACAGACTGTATACAGCCAGCTATCACCAATGTCAGTTTTATCCAAACAACTCTAGTGTTCACTGGAGATCACACGCTAATACAACCAGCTGAACAACATCTGGAAAAGATGTAGCCTGGGGTCACAGTACCAGACACCCATCTAACTTTGGTCAAGGTGACTGGCCCACAAAAATCAGAATTAGTAAGCAGGTACAACCCTGAACCTACTGACGCCACAGTTGTTACTCTAGGATTCAACATGTAGATTGGCTGGGCAAACTCCCATGACCACCAACATCCTTAAAAATGCAATGATCACATCACTGTTCCACAGTAATGACAGAATCTATATTGCTACTCCTGAATCAGTTAGCTTGGGTCTACTTATCAGAGTCCAAAATGTTTTAAAATGGGAACCAGTCTGCCTAGCCTAAACCTCTACACAACTCTGAAGAGGTAAAGTCTAGTTCTCACCTGGTAACCAGGGCAGAAACGACATCGGTGATGTCACTGTTGAGTTTGCTCAGCAGCTCTTCCATTGGGCCTGGCAGTGGTAGCTGCTGAGTTAGATGTTCACAGCGCCGGATCTGTTGTCTATTCTGCCAGATCAGATCGGCCAGCTTCTCACACCTTGTGGACAAGGATAGGAAGAGAGATTCCACCGTAGGGCAAAAAAGGACCAGGTGAGGAAATCATTTGTTGTTCCACTATATATTTAAGCATATTCACTCAGCTGGCAGCTGTTTAATATAGCCCTTCAAAAATCTTGTACAGTAAATAAATTGTTTGATAGAGGTGCTGATTCAACTGTTTGATCATTTTTGAAAGATGTAATTTGTGCTGCTGTTGAATTGTATTGCATTAGGCTGACAGGTGTTACCATTATTTTGTCCACCACATTTATATCAATGAGGCTAGGCTGACAGAAACCCCAGTTCAACAGCCTCCAAAATGACCACACAGCTGAATCGACACCCTGTGAAACGATTCAGAGAAAATTCATGCACTTGCTTGAGGAAGGTAAAACCGCTTACGAAAATCAACTACCCTGTAATGTAATGTAACATGCAAGTCAAACTAAATAACCAGCATTTCCAGGCTGTACCAGGACTGGAGGACATCAAGCCCCCCCTCATGGGGACCTCCATTGCCAGCCAGCTGCTGCCTCCTCTTCCACTGGATAAGTTCCTCATCCAGGATCAGAGTTTGCTGCTTTCTCAACAGACCCAGGGTCTTCTGGTGCTGTTCTGACAGGTCCTGCAAGCAGATCACCAGGAACATGCTGAAGAACACTTGCATTTGTTACAATCACTACCATACACAAAGTTAGAATGACCACTTCACAGTTGTATGCTTCTGCCAACCTGTCAATTTAGTTTACATGCATGTCTGACAAGACTCAAATAATATAAGTAGTGAAGATTTTAAAGGAATGCGCCAATTTTGAAGAAATCCCCTCAGTGTCTTCCTATATAGCGCTCACAAGAATGGGACAGACATTTGTTCACAGTAACCTTGATCTTTGACTACTAAAATCTGATCATCTTATCCTCGAGTCCAAGTGGATGCTTGTACCAAATTTGAAAAAATCCTCCAAGGCTTTCCTGAGATATGGCTGTCATGAGAATGGGACAGGCAGAAAAACAATCAGAAAACATAATGGCTCCAGAAAAGTGGACCACATGCACATGTATGCTGTAATAACCTGATTACTGTAAAATCTACATGTTGCTGTATGTACTGTTCAGCTGTGGAAACTAAGCTTGCTTCATATTATCAGGGTGAAAAGTTTTGTCGTAGGTTTTTTTGAATTTATGCTGCACATGTCTGGAATCTACAGTAATGGAGCAAAAACAAGAGTGCTTTGCTGCTGAAACTAAAATACTGGTGGAAAACACTTTTTTGGAACTGCGTGTGTGCATTAAACATTAAGGAAAAGGAGAAAATATTAGCCAGCTATCATGAGCTCAACAGAAAGATCAGTCATACAATAAATTCATAACAGAAAAGTCTGTTGGCAAAAGTTTGAAGCCACAAGTTTAAAGGGTATCTGATGGAGCTAGAGAGGGTCTGCTTTCACCTTGTCGTTAGGGGTTGAGTGTAAATTTATTGATAAAAATGTCAATTTTATCAATTTAAAACTGAATAAACAACACAAAGTGTGCAATAAATGAAGGGATCCAAACATTTTCAAAAGCAACAGAAGAAGGAAGGGGAAACAGAAGGAACAAGTCTATGAAAAATAAAATTCTACTACTCCTCAGCCTTGTGTGAACAAAGCACTACTGTGAACTATATCTTTACTGCACAGCATTTAATTTGCTACAATAACCTTTATTGCTGTGTGTTTTTAGTGTCTGAACTATGCCTCATTGTCTCTTTGCATGTGTGATTGAGAAAGCAGTGGACAGATTAGCTATATACATATATGCATACAATATCTATCCATCTATCTATCCATCTATCTATCTATGGCCCAGGAAATCTAATCAGTTCATCCTCAGTCCAAGTGGATGTCTGTGCCAAATGTGAAGAAGTCTCCTCAAGGGGTTCCTAAGATATCATGTTCATAAGAAAGGGACAGACTGAGGCCTGGATGTATAGACAACCTGATAAAATAATGGCTCTGGCCACAGCTAGAAGCATAATAATGCTTCAAACACACCAAGACTCACCAAATCTGGACTGGACTAACAGGGAGACTGTTAAAGACTGTTTCAGGTTTGTGAAAACTTTATTCTATTTATGACCATCTTTGAACTAGGTCTGGTCTATTGTTGTGTGAAGTCACCATGTTCTTGCTCTCACAAATAAAATGAAGATTTCACAAAATAGAATTTTAAAAAAGCATTAAGGTTTTAACTAGAATGAATAACACCCTTTCACAACAGTAAGTGGATTGAAAACTGGAAAAGTTCTTGTTCTTTCCAAACCTAGATTGGAATTTACCTCTAATACTGGTGAAATGCAGACACAGCACACTATATACTGTATGCTACATCAAGACTCCACAGTAACCAAACACATGTTTCCAATTCTTTAAGCTCCAACAAACACACAAAGGCACTGTTCAAATTACAAATCTAGTTAGCTATTACTTATGTAATTACTAAGCTTTCTTATGTTAGCGGAGTAGCTAAACAGAGCAGAGATCATGGGCATGTGTACTTGACTCTTGCTGCAGAGATTGCAAAAAGTGTTAGGAATTCTGAATGTGTTTTTAGACAAATTTCTTTCCACCATTTATAAGAGCACCAGAAACTGCAGCAGAAAGACTGTTAACTTTGTGAGGCAGTTGCAAACCTGGCCGCGAGGCCTTTGCTGCCTGAAAAGTCCTCTGCCCTGAAAGAACGCGCTCTGTGAGCTTCATTTACCAATGGTGTGCCTTATGAAAAGAAGAGTGCAAATATACAGTCCCCGTTGCAACAGTGGAACCTGTGACGAGTGTTACTCGGCTCAACACGTTTCATTAGGTTGCTATAATGGAAAAACCCCTTTAGACTCCTGGTAGGGAGTCAAAGTGTAGAGGCCAGACTAAGTGTGATCCCTGGTCCTCCAGGATGGGGGTCGCTAATAACCCTCTCCTGTAAAACTGCATTGTTACTAAAATTCAAAGCCAAGCAAGATCTGGCCTAGGGGAAGTCGTGGCCATGCCTTACAAGAGTGATCACATAACACGCAAGGGACAAAGCCAACAGGATACCCTCAAGCTGAATAGACCACTGGTGCACCCAAATTGACATCATGAAGACTGGAAACTGGAATGTACATACACTGAACAGAAGCGGTAACACTGCACAAGCAGCAAGAGAAATGCCCACTAGAGATACAGAAATCATGGGTATTAGTGAAACACACTGGACATGGCAAGGACAAGTGCATTTTATAGAAGGAGAAACCATTATTTATTCTGGAAGAGATGACAACACTTATAAAGGAGGAGGCATGCTGATGTCAGAAAGAGCAGCAAGAGCCCTGAAGGACTGGACTCTAGTTAGTGAAAGGCTCATTAAAGCCAGGTACTATTCTAAACACATCAAACTAACAATTATACACAAATATGCATATACAGAAGATGCAGAAAAGCAAGTAAAGGATGACTTTTACATGAAACTGCAGGATATCATAGACAGTAGGAATATATAGAACATGATGATGATCACTGGAAATAATAAATACTAAGGTAGGGGATGAAAACCCTGGTTATGAAAGAGTAATGGGCAAGCACAGAATGGGACAGTGGAATGACAATGAGAATGGTTGTGCAAAATGTGCGACATGAATGAGCTAGTTATAATAAGAACATTACCCATGTTGCCATATGCATGAATATCTCCGGATGGGCCAACCAAGAATCAAATAAATAATGTGCTAACCAGTAAACAACTCAGGAATCTGGTAAAGAGGGGTAGAGAGGCAATTTTACCTGGTTGGACCTAGTCAAATAGCCAGCTACATGTCTGAACTGAAGTGGTCAAATTGCTGGGAGAGGCACAGTCAATAAGACGACCGTTTCTGTTTCACTGCCTTGTTTTCGCTAACGCCACTCCCTCTCTTCATTCATCCTCTAGCTCAAACAACCACAGCTGCACTCGTTCTCCCTTAGTGGAGTTGATTTAGGGCAGGCAGTGAAATTTGGGCCCAAATATAAAAAGAACGCAACATCACAGGCTCGCATAAAGTTTATTTTGAATTTGCAACTACTAGGTCTGAAAGAGGCTTTAGTGCTGAGGCTGGGGGTGAGTGACAGTGACAGAGCAGAGCAGAGCAGAGCAGAGCAGAGTAGAGTAGAGTAGGTACTTTATTGATCCCACAGTGGGGAAATTTCTGTGTTACAGCAGCAATAGAGAACAACCAACATAACACCATAAGAACAGACAGAGGACACAGCTGCTGTAACTTGCTGCCACTCCGCGCGGTGCATGAGGTAAGTCAATGTAAAAATGTACTAAATGACAAAATCAAGTGTGTGTGTGTGTGTGTGTGTGTGTGTGTGTGCACCATGTTTTCATACAAGCCTGTGTTTCTGTAGTGTGCTGGCCTCTCTGGTGAGCCAGGCCTCCACAGTGGTCCTCTTGCTCTGTAGGGTGGTCTCCCGCTGAGTGCGCTCAGCTGGAGGAAGTGAAGACAGGCTGCTCAGCTGGGCTAATAAAGCAGAAGGCAAACGAAAGAAAACTGTTCACTTTTGGATAAGGAAGTAACTTTGGTAACTCTTTACCAGCTCTGGGCTGCAAGTTTTATTGCAGCAGAGGAGATAGCCAAATCAGCCCGGCCATTTACCGAGGGAGAGTTTCTGAAGAGCTGCATGATGAAAGTGTGCGACGTCTTGTGTCCAGACAAAAAGCAGGTGTTTGCAAATATAAGCCTTAGCAGAAATACGGTTGCTGATTTTAAGTTCAAGTTTATTTATTTTGGAATAATATTGTATCCTGTCTGTTTCGATTCATATTTATGTTAAAAAACGTTTAGTTTTAGTCTGTTCAATAAATGTTTATCCTGTTCGGCCTGCGACCTAAAGTGTTCTTTGAGTTTTGGCCTCCTGTGCCATTGAGTTTTACACCCCTGCTGTACAGGAACATTCCTGGACATGCACTAACCTCAGGCTCTACTTTTCTCCACATCCTCTGGTCACAGTGCAGCAGCAGGAGGTAAAATATATCCACAAAACCAAGTGCAGTCAAAAAAAACCCACTTTTAATATGGCACTGGTGGGTGTTATCCCTGTAACAGTGTAGATACATCATAAAATACAGAAAAACATGCCATGGGCTCTTTAACTGCAAACCCTTCTATTCACTGCAGGAGTGTTTACATCCCATCTCATGCCTGTATTAGCCAGGCACTACAACACCTGGGTGACCAGCTTGGCATTCAACACCATCATCTTGGACATCCTCCACTCTAAACTAAACCAGCTCACTGTGCCTGCCCCCACCCATCAGTGGATAACCAGCTTTCTGACAGACAGGAAGCAGCAGGTGAGGCTGGGGAAAACCACATCCAGCACTTGATCAGTCAACACAGATACCCCCCAGGGATGTGTGCTCTCCCCGCTGCTCTTCACCCTCTACAACAACAGCTGCACCTCGGGAGACCCCTTGGTTAAACTTGTGAAGTTCACAGACAACAACAGCCATCAGACTCAACCAAGATCGTGACAAGTCTGCACACAGACAGGGGGTTGAACAGATGGTCCTGTGGTGTGGTGGCAGCAACAATCTGGAGCTGAACAAAATGAAAACAGTGGAGATGATAGTAGACTTCAGGAGGAAGTAGAGTCTTTCAAGGTTCTGAGCTCCATAATCTCCCATGTCCTGAAGTGGACATCCGACATCAGCACCATCACCAAGAAGGTACATCAGAGGACACACTTGCTTCACCAGTGCTGAAGTTCAACCTGCCCCAGGAGTAACTCATACAATTCTACAGAGGAATCATCAAGTCTGTTCTTGGCATTCCATCAGTCTGGTTTGGTTCAGCAACCAAACAGGACAGGAACAGACTCCAGTGGACAGTCAGGACTGCAGAAAGAATAATCTGTGCCAACCTGCCCTTTGTAGAGGACCTATACACCTCAGGGGTTAAGCACAGGGCAGAGAAGATGTTCTACTTACATCTCGCATCCCGGACACAAACTGTGTCAACTCCTCCCCTCTGGATGGCACTACAGAACAGTATATTCCAAAACAACTAGTCACAAGAACAGTTTCTTCCCCTGTGCAAACACTCTCATGAACAGTTCAATCATTTAGTCAAGCGTAGTGACCCGCCTGGGAAGCCCTTAAAACAACAGGGGAAGTCACACACAGAGGTACAGTTAAAGCCAATTGAGCTGGAGCATGTTTTTGGATGCATTTTTCATGCAACAGAAAGAACTCCATTCTATAAAATGTCTCCCTGATACACAAGCGTGAGCCGCACACCACCCATTTTATGCTTCAGGTCTTATTTTCTCTGGTGCATTGAGTGCATTGTCTCCACACACTGCTGTTTAAATCACTCAAGTCCCCAGTTATTTTCTGTTGCAAACTTTTTACTGGGGTCTGTCTGGATTGGAAATAACTGCCTATAACATGTTATGAAACCTGTTTTAATATAAAACCTGTTTGTAGAGGCGGCTTACGCGTGCCGTTGGTACTGTATATATTCATTCCACTTCGAAGGGCTCGTCTTACATTTTTATCGACTTTATTGAGTTACATACGAAATTATATAGTACAACACGGGACACGGTAAGAAACCGTGTACCTCTACTGCTACATACACATTAGCCCCCTTCTGCCCTTTCCGCTAGAAACCCACGGGGCTCCACCGCCCTTCACCCCGCCCTCTATCACATAGAACCATACAACGAAGATGCACACAAACTAGATACATCTCAATTAGAGCGCACCAAACTATCATTAAGAAACTAAATGATATAACCTGCAGTTTAGCTCGTACACTGTTCTTGATTTCTGTGACATGCAGGGCACACCCAGTCTCAGATGCAAGTTGCGCCTACACCCAGTACTGTGCTTATACACAGTACCTGAAACTGGGTGTGTCACAGGGTTATAATTAGATGAATTGAGCCTCTTAACTCTTGTCACTCATTTGCTAGCTTCATGCTCTGTGTTGAGTGACCTCTTGATTAATATTCCCATGCTATGCTGCGGTCTGGTTGCTAAATAAAACACACAAGGACAACTAAGAAGCCTTCATTTCTTATTTTTTCCATAACAGTGCCTGTTATGATTACATGCACAAGGCCTACATGAAAACTATTGTTGTCCAGCACATTTACACTGCTTTTTGGCTTGGTAAAGACCATTTGTCTATCTGCTGCCCTCGCAGCTCATCAGGAGCTGATGACTGACTGGTACTTTGTCACTGAACGTCACATCTCACTTACAGTCAAGGCTGTGGTTACATTACCACACCAAACCTCTTTATACACAGGAAGCACTGGTCTCTGTACCGGAATCAAATTCCTTGTGTGTCTAAACATACTTGGCCAATAAAGCTAATTCTGAATTTCAGGGTTCCCGTGCATGTCTGAAAGGGGTTTTAGTGGGTTCTGTGTTTGTGTGTGTCCTTGCCCTGGATGCGCAGGTTCTCCTGGTACTGGATGATGAAGTACTCCTGGCTGTGCTGCAGCTTTCTCAGTTCATTCTCAGTCTCCTGTGTGGCTAAGCGGAGCTCCTCAAAGGCCTGGTTAATCTGCTGGTGGCGCTGTGAGAGACTGTCCATGGCTTTACCCTCACTCCCACTGCTGGCCTACACAAAACCAAAAGGTCCAGATGTTGCTTTCTTTCTGTCCCCTCAGTTTGGTACCATCAGTACAATACAACCAATCATGACAATAATACATGTAATTTTTTTGTTTGTGAATCATGGTCTCCAGCATTATTTAATTCCCTTCAAAACATTTATATCTCAACCTCTGCCTCAACGTGAGGACAGCAAATGCCACGGGATACCTGCAAATGGTGACGATTACCCACCCTTTCAATACTTACATTTGTAGCTTCTTGAACCAGCCTCTGTTCTGAGTGCAAGATATGTTTAATGCAGCGCACTAGCTCCAAAGGACAGCGGTCGTAAGTGCTCTGCAGAGAAACCAAACACATACACACAGGCAGTAAACTTTAATTAGATCAATTACTTAAACTTAATACCATGTCAACATTTTGGCCAAAAATGTTACAACCAGAGTTCCTTCGGTCCAGCTAAAGTCATGGCTCCGTTCTTATTAAAATGAAACAGAATTTTATTATTGTTGCAATATCTGCAGCAATTGTTATTTTACATTCCTCTAAGCAAAAATGACTATCTTGGAACCTAGAAAAGTACTACACCATGGAACATTTGCTACTGGATGAAGAGTAGGACGGCATTTAGATCAAATATTTGTTTCAGGCAAACGCCCTTCCTCGGCATGACAATTAACAACAGCCCAGTACAGTCCTGTTGCCAGACATGTTAATACAGATCACAGTCAGTGACTTGTGTTTTATGGGCACTGAGGTTGTTCCAAGTTGCCCAATGAAAAAGTGGCTAAAAAAAATGTTACTAAAATAAATAAGTAAATAAATAAAAGGAGTGTTTCTGGATTAATCACCTGGGTATTTTAATGCCATTCAGTTTATCTTGTTTTTTTTGTAGTTTTGTGTGGGTGTGTTGGGGGGGTGTGGGGTGTGGGGGGGGGGGGGTTATAGGTTTGCCTTATAATCTGTCTGCATTTGTTTTAAGTGTACTGTATATCATGTGATTTATAAGTCTCCTTATTGGCTATATTGTTGTGCCTAATTGTGTTATTTAGTTCACCTGTACTGGGGTGTAGTATTGTTGCTGATTTGCAAGCTGAATTTGGGCGTGCCTGAAACATGAGCGCAATGGATAAGTAACCAGACAGCACTCAAGAGAGCATACTGTAGGCACTTTGTATGGAGTTAGAAGCCAAAATATTGAAATTGACCATATGGTGAAAATACCTTTAAAACATTCCTAGATGCAGATGATGAGCTAGATCAGCACAAAAATGTAATGGACTGTTCATTGGGCCATACACTACTTAAATGCACCAAACAGTTTCAGTATAACAGTTCAGTGACTGGTAAAAAAGAAGGTTTGTGGGCAGGCTGGATTATATTGCTGCATCTGTTGCTGCTTAAAGTGCCTTAGATATTGTGTTACTTATTTATCTACTTTATATTTCATTTGTATTTTGTGGCATTCATGTGGACAGCAAAGTAAGAATTTCATTGTACAGGGAAACACATTTCCTAACTGTGCATATGACAAAATAAACACTTTGAACTTTGGTACACTACCTTGAGCTGGGTGGCATAGTGACCCAGCTTGATCTTGAGCAGAAAGCCATCTTCTCCACACTGAAGCTGAGATTTCCTCTGCAGCTCAGACACCAGGTTGTCCAGCAGACGCTTGGCTTTGGCCTCCTCTGCTGGGTTGTCCAACTCCACTGAGTCCCTGTGAAACATGATTACATTTTGGATTGTTACCAATCTGAAGCCAATGTCAAGCTCAGTGCTGCTTGACTAAAACTAGCTATTGATGGCCAAACTGGCTGTTCAGGACTATTAATTATGTAAATCTCTCATCAACTTTGACTAATAATCATCTGAGAAGTAAATTAAATTCCTCATTCATAACAGGATCACACACTTTCAAAACAAGGTTACATTGTGCTTGACAAAAGCACAAGATAAACACAGGCAAACAATACCTGGGGTTGCTGTTGTTGTAATACAACTAGCTAAAACCAAGTCAAATATCCAAAGGCTAAAGCTGTCAGTTGGATTTGCTTGAGGTACTTGAATATGTCTGACCTCTCATCCAAAAAGCTTCTTCAGTTCTGACTCATCGGTGGGGAGTCCCAGGTATTTAACCTCTGTGGAGTCTTTAACACCTTGTTGGCCATCGAAGTCACATGTGGACTGTTAGGGTCACATAAGTCAAGATGTAGATGAGTGTTAATCCTGCCTAGGGAGGAATGTCAGGACTGCACTGCAAGTGGCTGTTAAGGGTGTCATATTATGCTGTCATTGCCAGTGTCATAGCCAGCTATTGGCCCATGCTGCCCGGCCTGAATACACGTTTGTGTTTCCACTGCACAGTGTGAGGGTTGCTCTTGCAGAAGATGTCGTGGTGCCATCTTTGATGCAACCAAAACAGACATCAACAGAGTAAACATGGATTCAACACACATAGCTGCGGTATTGTCTTCCTTTCATTTCTTCATAATGCGCTGCTATCATTTCTTCTTTCTTTCCTTTTTTTAAGAGGGTGGGCCTCTTTCTTTAGTTGAGACACCTAATGTAGATGTAGTTCATCTAGATGTAGCTTAGCCCAAGCTAGCCGCCCCCCACAGCTTCCCGAGCAGCCGGGATCTCAGCCAGGTGGCTGGGTGACATTTCGCAAGAGTCGTAGCTCCAAACAAATGCCCACGGAGCATCACCTGCCTGTTCACGTTTCGATTTTCCCCACTCAGCGACACAACCGCTGAGAAAACAACTCTGGTAATTGGTAATTGGAGACTCCTATTTGAAGCTGCTGACTAAGGATAAACGTAAATACAGTAAGGTTGTTATTCACGTCTGCGCTAATGACTCCCGACTTCGCCAGTCGGATGTCACTAAAATTAATGTTGAGTCGGTGTGTAACTTCGCTAAAACAATGTCGGACTCCGTAGTTTTCTCTGGACCCCTGCCCAATGTGACCAGTAATGACATGTTTAGCCGTATGTCGTCATTCAACCGCTAGTTGTCTAGGTGGTGCCCAGAAAATAATGTGGGCTTCATAGACAATTTGAAACCCTGGCCTGATTATCAGAGACGGCATCCATCCCACTTTGGGTGGTGCGGCTCTCTTATCTAGAAATCTGGACGAGTTTGTTTTACAGCCTAAATTATGACAACCCAGAGTTGAGTCCAGGATGCAGGGTCGCAGTCTTAGACGCCTCTCTGCTGTCTCCTTGCAGCTGCTACCCACCCAAC